TTAAAAATAATTAGAAGGATGTGTTGCTTAAATACAGGTGACAGCTCTCTCTCTCTCTCTCTCTCTCTCTGTGTGTGTGTGTGTGTGTGTGTGTGTGTGTGTGTTTCACGTATACAGTATTTTCATGAGGTCTGAATTGGCAGTGACTGACCAGGAATGAACCGTTGGGATCATTAGGAAAGGAACTGAAAACTGCTGAAATTATAATGCTGTTGTACAAATCTAAGGCACGTACAGCCAGCCCAAGTTATTTTGGCACTGGAGGCAAACCACCAAATAGTGACCCCCCTCCCCACCAGGGACCAAGGAGTGAGTAAACATTTACAAGAAGAACAAGGGAAGAATAAAGATGTACATCAAGATCGGCTGTTCCTGTGGATCCTGTCCCCTGAGGCAGTCACCTCACCTTGCCTCATGGAGGGCCAGCCCTGATGACCACAACTGCAGTTGGAATATTCTGGTTGCCTGACCTCCAAAAATGATATTGTGGAGTTGACAAAGGTTCAGAGAAGGGCAAGCAAAATGATTGAGGGGATAGAGAAACTAAAGGGATGCTAATACTCTAGAATGGGGATCATTAAACACTCTAAAGCAGGGGTGCCAACTTCAATAAAATGTCCCCATAATCACATGATGCAGTGCACACACACCGTTTGAATGACAATGCTCATTAACTTGGGGGGAGATGACCCCCTCAAATATTTTATTATGGGGGCCGAAGCCCCCACAGCCCCTAAGAGTTGGCTCCTATGATCTGGGGCAGGGTTTGCTAACACCCTATTAAGGGTCTTATCTGAACTCTCAATACATTTTTTATTATCTCCCCAAGACCCTACCAATTTTTGCTGCAGAGGGGGGATTGTGTTCCTCTATATTTGTCTGCCACGGTGGGTGTGCGCGCACACACCCTCTGTATATGCACGTGCAACTGCATGTGAGGGTGAATGCAGCTGTCAGTCCCCCTGCCATTCTAGAGATAGGTAATACCCGCATAGGATACATTTTGCTGTATGCAGCCTAGCAACAGCTTCAGATGTCTACCAGGCTGCTTGCAGATGTCAACTTATCGTCTTCAGCTACAGATGTGGCTAGATGAAACAGCTTCCCTTCTGCTGCCTGACAGGCTGAAGTGTTTACGCTACAGATTAATAGGCGTTCTTGTCACTAAACTCAGGTGGTAACAAGATACTGTATTTTATGACGTATTCTATCCATCTCTCAAATATCAAGCTTGAAAGCAACGGCTGTGCAGAGAAAACTATTTGAGAGTGCTTAAAATTAATTGCATTTGCAATTTATGTGAAATGGAATGATGTGCATTCCTGATACTGTATTATTTTTACATTTTTGCAAGAATTAGCGAGTTTAAAAGGCTGGAAATAAGAAACAAGTCTTCCTCATAAATATCACATCCACAGGACTTGCTTCTGTGCAAACCTGCATAGGCTTGCTCAGTCTGTATTTTGTTTTGTTTTTAATGAGCATTTGTTCAATTACCAAGCAGTCTGGTACACACTATTGTTACTCTATTGGTCCCAGTGAGACAAGGAGGCATGCTTAAGTGATAGGGTGCTGCTTGTGCTTGCCAACTCTTGGTTTGGGATTATGGACTCTTTGGATCAAAATCCCTTATCCGACAGCTGCCAAACCAATTCCCTTCCCCATTCACCCTTAACATAGAATTGCAGAGTAGAAGTGTAACACTGGTAGAAACAGAAGCTTCTCCTTGCCCTCCCATTCCAAAGCTTTCAAAACCTCTTGCAAGGCCTGGTCTCTAAATGCTGCTAGGTAAGCCACTCTGCTGGTCCACTGAGTTCAGATCTCCTCCAAAATAAGCTGTTGCCACCACCGACTGATTTACAGACAGCAGTTGGAGTGTCCTTTTATATTGTTGCATGCCACCCCAATCTCCAAGTGGTGCAAGATTCCACGGGTTCTAGGCCTTTACCCAGGGTTCATGTTTACTTTAGGAAATGAAACACAGTGAAGACTGTGATGTCTTCACATTTTTGCTATGGCAGCCAGCCTGAGCACCAGAGGTAAGGCAGTGGGCAGTGAGTGGCATGCAGAGGCGGCGGGCAGCAGCTGTGGCAGGGGGGCAGCACGTGGAGGCGGAGTCAGGCTGCAGGCAGATGTCATTATGGTGCGGCACAGTGTGCACCAATATTGGGCTCCCGCAGTGTGGGCCCCAAGTCTGTGCCCCTGGATGACTTTATGATATATGGTTTATTTACACATAGATCCAACTTGGGCTTATGATGGAGGGGTCTACAGCATTAACACCCCAAAAGCTTCTCCCATAGCTGTAGCCTTTGATTCAAGCAGAAATCAAATTCAGTGGTACCTCGGGTTACAGACGCTTCAGGTTACAGACTCCACTAACCCAGAAATAGTACCTCAGGTTAAGAACTTTGCTTCAGGATGAGAGCAGAAATTGCGCAGCAGCGGCACGGCAGCAGCAGGAGGCCCCATTAGCTAAAGTGGTGCTTCAGGTTAAGAACAGTTTCAGGTTATGAACGGACCTCCAGAAAAAATTAAGCTCTTAACCCGAGGTAGCACTGTATTGTGCTCTGCGTCTCTAGCCTGCAGCCTTTTTCATGCAGCTTCTAACTTACATAACTCCATGTCTAACCTCCCTACTCTAAACTCTAGCTTTAGCTGTTGAGAGAGGGGGTCCTCACCCATTTGCCATCTCACACTGAGCCACCTTGATGTTTTTTTCCCTCTTAATGGCCCATCACATAGGCGATCACCTCAACACAAAAATTTAGCCCCATTGCTCGGTCCCTGCTCCTGCCAACCTAGCAGTTCGAAAGCACATCAAAATGCAAGTAGATAAATAAGTACCACTCCAGCGGGAAGGTAAATGGCATTTCCATGCACTGCTCTAGTTTGCCAGAAGCGACTTAGTCATGCTGGCCACATGACCCAGAAGCTGTACGCCGGCTCCCTCGGCCAGTAAAGCGAAATGAGCACCACAACCCCAGAGTCGGTCACAACTGGACCTAATAGTTAGGGGTCCCCTTTACCACTTACCTAATTTGCTTTTAACACTTGCTGGATCAAAGGATTAGAAGTCTGGCACCCAGTTTGAAACCCCAATTCTAACACTTACTGGATCCAGGGATTTAGAGAGGTCTAACAACTCACGACTGGACCTAATGGTCAGGGGTCCCTTTCCCTTTCCCTTTAACAACTCGTAACAATATACTCAGCATGCGGGGTGAGATCTCCTAAGCTATTATTCCCTAGAGCATAACATATCCATGCATTTAAAAATCACTATAATACCAAATAATAGTGTTAATAGCTTAACCTGCTCCCACTATATTAGCTGCCATAACTTCCAGCTATTTTCCTATATCTTCACTTTCCCTGATCTCATTTGTTTCTTCAAGCTGCAGCTCTCTGTGCAGCCGTCTCTCAACTCATCCCTTCTAGCTGTCACTTCTCGGCCCAGCTGCCCATCTGTCATTTTCTCCCAACCTGCCCATCATACTCCCCTGCTGTCAATCATTTTTTTCACTCATCTTTTTATTACACCTCTTTCATAGTGAGGTACAGGTGGTGAAGACTGGAAAATAGGGAAGAGCAGACAGTTTTTAGGAATGGGCTGGCAGTTGTAATTAGTAATGAGACAAAGAATCATGAAGGCAATATTTTAACATGAATTTTGTGGCATGTGATGCATGCAATACCCCCTAAACTCTCCCCCAAATGTACAACTTCTGTGACTGCAAAAGAAGTAAGGCAGCAGAAGTAACACATTTCCCTGTCTTCTGTCATCCCTGTCTTCTCCATGGCTCCCAATCCAAAGCTTAAAGTTAAGCAGCTCTTTATTGTTTTGGTGACTGGGCACCACTCCCCATCCTCCAAGCAATGTGCAGCACATCAATAGTGGTTGGTGGTCCAGCAGTGTTTGCATGACCTCCTATCATCGGCATCACTGTGGTGTACCAGGAGTGGGAGAGACTTGGGAAAAGGGCTTTCAATTAGTTCCAAGAATGTCATAGGTTTAAGGAGCAGTGCAGGGAGGTTACAAAGGATTTTTAAACATTCCCAAGCTGCTCTTTAAACTTCTAGTTTTTGGAGGTTTAAGGAAGAGCACTAGCACCAGGATGATTTTACAAAGGGCTTTCACAGCTAGGTGACTCTTCCTCATCTGGTTTGATCTTCCATGTGATTCCCATGATGTCTGATCTCATGCTGCTGTTATGAAATGTGGGAGGGAAGGTTTAAAACTTCTCCCTGCCTGCAACCAACCAAGCACTGCTCAGCTGACTGGGGAAGAGCTGAGAATGGTGAAAAGGGGGCTGGACTCAGGAAAAGGAAACCTGAGTCAACACGTGCACATTCCCCAAGGCCTTTGGGGTTTATGCATATTGGCTGGAGGGTGTACAGAATTCAGCTGGTTGTTATGCACAATAACTACTCAACTCCACATTTTCCTTTGTAGAGTACATGGAAATGTAAGGCTGTCGCCACCCATTTCATGCAGGAGCTTGAAAAGGTCTGAAGAACAGGGTAGTCTGATGGCTTTATAATTGGGTGGAAGGCGAGAAGGGTGCTTAGTTGTTGCAATGTGTGGGAAAGGAAGATGCAGGGAGTTACCACAGGTGTGGTTTGCAAGGGGGTAGGCACAAGAGGAGGGGAGAGGCATGGGCATGTGGATGAAGGTGAAAACAAGGGCACAAAGCAGACTGGCAGAAATGGAGGAAAGAAATGGGGTTGGGATGGTGAAAGGGGGCTTGAGGTGGGAAGTGGAAGCCCCAGGGGGTTAATGTGGGGGAATGGCAGAGGGATTGGGAACGTTAATGAACATTTTGGTTTTCAAACGCCGTAAACCCGGAAGTAAATGCTTTGATTTTCGAACACGCCTCGGAAGTCAAACATGCCATGTGGCTTCTGCTGAGTGCAAGATCTGGAGGCCTAGCTGTTGGCTGGTGAGTTTTTGGTTTTCAAACATTTCAAAACTCTCACAGTCTTCTGGAATAGATTACGTTCAAAAACTAAGCTACCTCTCTCTCTCTCTCTCTCTCTCTCTCTCTGTGTGTGTGTGTGTGTATGTGAGAGAGAAAGAGAGAGAGAGAGAGAGAGAGAGAGAGAGAGAGAGATCAAATTTATTTGGTGGATAGCCAGCTGTAGAATATGTGGCCTGATTTTCAGGCAACTGGGGAGAAATACCTATCTGCTGTGATGGTATCTGATCAGCACGGGATAAAACAAGATACTGAAAATCCTGCTGCCTGGAGTGGTTTATGGTAGAAATAAGCTGGTGTGTGTGTTTTTTATATAAAACTCTGTTGAAAGCTCATTGCAGCCCCCTCTGTGCTACACAGAGGAGCAAAAGACACAGATTTATCTTAAAACATTTTTCTTCGTTTTATAGCTCTACTGATGATTTTAAATGTTTATGCTATTGGTGCTTATATGCAGTAAATCATAAATGATATATTGCAACAACCCTTTGAAGTGAATTGCTTTTCTTACCTTTATTTTTTAAAATGTGAATTTAGTGTCTGTGAAGAGTAACAGATTGACAATACCAGTACATTAAGTCCCTCATTTATCTTCAGCAAAAGTATAACCGTGGACAAGAACAATATACTTCCCACACCCCTCCTCCCCTCACAACACCGCTTGGCTCCCATGGCAAGTCACCCAAGCAAGAAGATTCCTCAACTTTGTTAATTTTTCTCACTTAATCTGTCTTCTCCAGGCTTGCAAATATAATCCTAGGTTTGTCATTTGCTTATCATAATTGTGATTTCAAATAGAAAAGCAGTGGAAAAGAATATCTATTGCATTTCCAGCACTCCAAATCATCACATTTCACTGGCATTTTGTTTTAATTTCTTATCCATCCTTACCCTAAAAGCTATCAGTCAGTAAGTGCTTTTTTAAAACAGATGGCAAAATAGTAAATTAAGATAAATACTTGAGTATTCAGTCTCTTCCAACATGTACATATAGTGTACATTACATTAGAAATGTACATTAGAAAGATAGGAAGTTGCCATGGTCCAACAAGCTCAGTGCTGATTACGCTGATGGCAATTGCTCTCCAGGGGACCCTTCTACCTGGAGATGCCAGAAACTGAACCTGGGACAAAGCAGGTACTCTATAACTGACAGTGGCAGCTGGTAACATTTTTACTTGATAGAGCTAAAAAAAGTTAACCTTGATGTTTTCGTCACAATGGAACTTGTACAGCACTTATTTAGGAAAGTGTGCCATTACCCATGAGTAAAGCAGCAATTAGGGGACATTAACAGTTTTCTAAAAACAGTTTTAGCTAGCAAAAATAGCAGAGGCAGCCTTTCCCCCCCTCTCAGTATTCCAACAAGCCAGTGTGGTGTAGTGGTTAAGAGCAGTAGACTCGTAATCTGGTGAACCGGGTTCGATTCCCCACTCCTCCACATGCAACTGCCGGGTGACCTTGGGCTAGTCACACTTCTCTGAAGTCTCTCAGCCTCACTCGCCTCACAGAGTGTTTGTTGTGGGGGAGGAAGGGAAAGGAGAATGTTAGCCACTTTGAGACTCCTTCGGTTAGTGATAAAGCAGGATATCAAATCCAAACTCCTCCTCCTCCTCCTCCTCTTCTTCTTCTTCTTCTTCTTCTTCTTCTTCTTCTTCTTCTTCTTCGCTCAAACCTCTGCTGTTATTGAAAACTGCAACTTTCCTCTCAGCGATTCTCCATCCATGCTTTACTCAAACCTCTGCTATTGTTTTAAACCACCACTTTCCCCTTCACAGTTTCTGTCTCTTCTCACTCCCGTGTCATCACTTCTGCTGTTGTGCAACCTGCCTTCATTTATTCCCTCCAGTACCTTGCCCTGACTTAATGCAAATCCAGGATTGTGATGCGGCACTAAAGATCCTCCAATGGCAGCTGTACAATGACAGCCTTACATTTTTATTATATGGAGAGGCAAGACACATGACTACATAGGTATCTGCACTAAATAATGATGCGCTCTTGCTATGTTGAACAGAGCTCTGCAGATTTGCAAATCAAATTCAAGTAGTGGTTTCCCTTGGCCTAATACTTAAATATGCACCCTTGGAGAGTTACCACATCAAATCATTCTCTTTGGCTACCTAGCCATCATTTAATTTGCTGCAGCAACCTCCAATTTGTTTAATCTAATTTTGAAACATTGACTGAAAATGAACTAGACACTTTGTTTCCACATCTGTAACAAATGAGATGCAAAGGCTAATATCATAAACCAGCCATTCTGGAGAATTTCTGTAAAGATCAGCGAAGGAAATTGGTTTATGACTGTGTCCACATTCAACACAAAGGATCAAAGTATTCCACAGGTATTACAATTCAGTAGTTTGCATTTTTTTCTATTCTGTAAACTGTCACAGTATAAAGACTGGAAATAAACCTGGGAATACAATAGTAGTAACAGAAGTAAGTAATGTAGTCGTTATAGAAGCAGTAGTAATGCAATATAATGGCCTGACATTGTAGTTTATGGTGCTTTAAAATAAGCAAGAAACCCAACAACACTAATCCCATAAACAAAAGAGAGTTGAATGCCTCCAAAGAGTGTACAATCTAAATTGCTACAGTAGAAGAGAAAACAAAGAAAAGGGACTGCAAATTTGGCCAAATATCTGAGGAAGAATAAGTCAGAGGTTCATATGTAGTAGATAGCACTAGCCCCCCACCCCCACAAAAAGTCCCAATGGTTTTAATAAAGATGCTCTGCATCTGCTTAAAATCAGCTGAAATCAGCTGGTCTCAAAAGTGCTTAACATTGGCACAACAAAAAATTGACAAGATATGGGGCTGGCTTGTAAGAAGTAAGGAAATGTGTAAGATTCAGCAGATACAGAGCCTAAAAATGCTAATCTCTTTTTTTAAAAAATAAATTTTTATTAATTTTCCAATACATTTATACATTTTTAACCAAATTGTAACAAAACATCTCTTTTGGACTTCCTTCAGCTTCCCTGGCAATCATCCATGTTTATCTCTTAATTACGCATTGCCTTTACACATATTGCCGTTTGTATTCCCTCTCCCTTCTATTTCTTTTTTGACAATATCTCTCAGTTTTTACAGCGCCTCTCGAAACCCCACTAGCGTTGTTTGTATATCGCATACATTTTTCAGACACTCTACAAACTTTCCCCAGTCTTCGATGAACCTTTGGTCTCGGGCATATCTGATTTTCCCAGTTAGTTTGTCCAATTCCGCATAGTCTGTCAATTTCAATCTCCATTCTTCTATTGTCGGTAATTCCTCTTGTTTCCATTTTTGAGCCAATAAAATCCTTGCCGCTGTAACTGCATACTGAAAGAGTTTACAGTCTTTTCTTCTTATTTCTTTTCCTGTAATTCCTAAAAGAAAGGCTTCTGGTTTCTTCACAAAAGTAAATTTTAACATCTTTTTCAATTCATTGTAAATTGCATCCCAGAAACCTTTCACCTTCTTACATTCCCACCACATTTGGTAAAATGTTCCTTCTTTTTCTTTACATTTCCAACACTTATTACATCTCTTATACATTTTTGCTAATTTTACTGGTGTGATATACCATCTGTAAAACATTTTCATAACATTTTCCTTCAACGCAGTACATGCAGTAAATTTCAGATTTTCTTTCCACATTTTTTCCCAATCGTCAAATTGTATATTATAACCGAAGTCTTTGGCCCATTGTATCATTACTGATCTCTTCATCTTTCATGTTCCATTCCAACGGTATTTTATACATTTTTGACAGAATTTTACATTCATTATTTATTATATCTACTTGAAACTTTGAATCTTTTTCTCCATATCCACATTCTTTTATGTCTTTTTTAAACATTTCATTAACCTGTAAATAATGCAACCAATCATATACATGTTCTTTAATTTGTTCATATGGCTTTAACTTCCATTTTCCCTCCTCTTTAATCACCATTTCACCATATGTAATTCAATTGCCTCTCATATTAATTTTCTTTACACTCAGAACTTCTAACAGAGATAGCCAGTGTGGAACTTTTGGTTCCAATAAATTTTAGTACCTGTCCCATACCTCTATCAACGAATTCCTGAAGATGTGGTTCCCAAAACCTTTATGAATTTTCTTCTTATCACACCATAGGTATGCATGCCATCCAAATCTGTTATCAAAACCTTCAAGGTCTAATAATTCCTTATTGTCTAATTTTATCCATTCTTTTAACCAGCAAAGACATGCTGCTTCATAATATAGTTTCATATCTGGCAGGGCGAAGCCTCCTTTTTCTTTTACATCTGTTAATAACTTATATTTTATTCTTGGCTTCTTGCCCTGCCAGATATACCTTGAAATCACTTTTTGCCACTCTTTGAAAATCCCTATCTCCTTTATAATGGGGATAGTCTGAAATAAAAATAACATCTTTGGAAGCACACTCATCTTTATCATGGAAATTCTGCTCCAAAAGGACAGTTTCATTCTGCCCCACACCTCTAGATCTTTCCTTATTTCCTTCCAAACCGGTACATAATTATTCTGGAGCAGGTCAGTATTTTTGGGTGTTAACCAAATCCCCAAATATTTTACTTTTTTCACAACCTCTATCTCTGTCTGTTGTTGCATTATTTCTATCTTATTTTGTTCCATATTTTTAGCAATTATTTTGGTCTTTTTCTTATTCAATCTAAATCCTGCCATTTTTCCAAATTGTTCTATTTCCTGCAAAACTTCTTTTACACTTTCCAGTGGTTCTTCAATTGTTATAACCAGATCATCAGCAAAGGCTTTCACTTTATATTCATTCTGCCCCACTGTTACCCCTTTAATTGATTTGTTTTGTCTAATCGCACTTAAAAGACCTCTAGGACCGTTATAAATAATAATGGCGAGAGCGGTCTTGTTCCTTTTGATATTTTTATATCCTCTGTAATTACATTATTGACTAGCAGTTTAGCTCTCTGTTCTGTGTATATTGCCTTAATTCCATTGAAGAACTCTTTCCCCACATCCATACACTCTAAATTTTTCAGCATAAAATCCCATACTATATTGTCAAAGGCCTTTTCTGAATCCACAAACATTAATATCACTTGTTTCTCATTCCTGGCAGTCAGATATTCCAAAATATTAATTATATTCCTTATATTATCTTTCA